GCAGCCCGGGGAGGCAAGAAACCAGGGCAGCTTCTGCCTCAGCTTACTAGTGTCAGGGAGGGAGTTGATGTCTGGGGCTTCAATTCTCAACCTAGCCATTTCACCACGTCTCTGAGAGTTGATGGTGCCATCTGTGAAACAGAGATAATCTCATTGAAAAACAAGACAGCAGTGAAAGTGACTGGTAACAGTCAGTTACTCCATAATTGTGACCAAGTGCAAAAGTTCTAATCACAAGCTCAGCAAGTTGAATGGTAAGTCTTAACTGGAATTCATCTCATCAAACTTGGGCTTGACTTCAGGTTACATTCGAGAGGAAGGGAAAACTACCAGATTGCATCCTGAGTGTCTGACATATATAGCTAAGTATGTCATCCATCCTCCTATGAGAGTGGTGAATCCAACTGCAATCTCCCCTGTCAGTGGGGGTTTTAAGGCATATCCAAAAGATCAGTTCCTGTGGTCTCTGGAGGTTACTTGTCTCTGCAGAAAATCCTAAGGGCTTGATTTGTTTTGGTTTTGTTTTTTCCCAAGAAAGGTAAGGTAGTGACACCAGGAATTTCAGTAGACATTGGGTGGTGTTCCTGTAACTAAGTCTCCACTAGTGATGTCAGTAGTGTAAAAATTCATCCAGCATTGTCTTTGTACATAAAAGAGCATTCACCTTAGATGGAGTCGATGAGTTGAATAATTATTAAATTCCCAGGAAGATGCATTCATGTACTAATATCTAAGACGTGTGTGTGTGTGTGTGTGTGTATACACATTTTTACCTTTTGTGGGAGTCCCCTTCCTATTCCTTCTTTTTCCTTTCTCTGTATTTCTATAATAACTCCAAAGGGGGGTGGGAATGCCTGTATTATAGAGAGCATGTTTTTAATGCCACATCAAACAATTTGCATTTAAGACTTTGATTAGATGGGCACTTTTATTATCCCCATTTCCAGATGAGAAAACCAAAGTTCTAAGGGTTTAAATATTCTCAGAAATTACATAACTAATAAATGAAGAAGCAGGATTTGGTTCCAGACTGTCTGAATATATAACGCATTATTTAACCCTGTCACAATCTGATGATGATAAAATAGCTGTCTCCAGGCTACAAACAGACTTTTTTTAGTGGAATAAGTTAAATTAGAAGCCTGCTTTACAAGAACTGTGAACCTTGAAATTGCTGCTTTGAAAGACCCTCCAGCAGGCAGGCACTGCTGTCCACTCTGGCTCCTGGTCCTCATCTTATGACTAAAGCATCACCTGGAAACTGATCCATGGCTTAATCAAAACACAACTCAAATCATCAGGGTAACCGAATTTATTTTGATCCACATTTTAATGCATTTTACTTGTGAAATGTGAAATTTTATGTGAAATATTTTGCCTTTATTTAGTTGGCAAAGAATCCATTATAAAACAAAAGAAAGTGCTTTGTCAGTCAAACAACATAAACCAAGGGGAAGAATACAGTCTCTCATTCAGGTCACCAATGTAGAACTCTGAGTGGCCTTGAAATCAAATCTTTTTTTACTCTAGGCTGCTAAGATATTACATTCAACTTGAATTGATTCCTGGAGCAACCTCCTAAACCTGTTCATAAAAGGTCATATTATGTCCACATTCATTTTTTCTACCTCTTTGATATGGCATTCATTCATTCAGCTGAGACTTAGCAAGTACCTAACATATAGCACTACTTTGAGAGACAAATATTCAATGTGTATTTAAACTACACTTCTATTCTCACCTGAGCTTCAAGTCATGTGATACCAGAAGCCCTCAAAGCAGCCCTCGCACAACCCAGAGCATTGCTAATAATGTCCACCCTTTCTTTTTATCCCAAGAGGAGCAGAAGCCAGAAATTGGGTGGCTTCTTCCTGACCATGCTGCACCACACCAAAAGAGAGGAGATAAGAATGAGCAAATACACCACAAAATTTCTTATAATTTTGAGTATGGATTTTTATTGTTTTGACACTTGTAGATTGCTGTGGGTACTTGGCTATTTTTAGAACTCCCACAAAGATATTTAATTAGTCTGTTCTTAATTTATTTGCTCTTTTGTGAGGGAATGAAAACCTAGAGTTTCTTGGTCTGCCTTCTTACTGATTTCATCTCTAGAGTTAGCTTAATTTAAAATGCAAATTCTCCCAGATGTTCAAGAATTAAATTAGCCTGCTTTAATTTTTGTAATAGTCATGGTAATTTTATTGAGCACTTACTATGTGCCAGGCACTGTCATATATACTTGACTATTAAGTTACTAAATAATTTAGTGAACTTTGACTCCTTCTAAGCAGTATTATTGTTCCCATCTCAGAGATGAAAAAACTGAGGCATATCCTCAGAAAGAAACCTACTGTCTATATGGAACGAAGAGAGACACATGGGAGAATGAATTTTAAGTCTTCCGTAGGTTACATGAAGTCTGTTCATGATTTCATGTGACTTGAGAGGAGGTGACTACAGTAGGTCAGAAGAACTTGACTAAATTACACCCATCCTCCAAATTCTCTTTTCTCTACATATACTTTAAAATAAGGTCCCAGTCCTTGAACTGTGCTTACAACAAAATATGACTTGGCAGAGCATTTGCAAAAAAAAAAAAAGTGCCTTTTCCTTTGAAACAAGAAGTAATATATTATGTATAATCTTCAACAGGAGGGCAAGAGAGGTCCAAACCCAGCCCTATGGTGGGTGAATAACCAAGGAGATGAAGTGAAATGGAGTTTCAGAGAGATAACAGACTTAAGCTGCCGTACAGCCAACATGTTGACACAGAACTGTGGCCTGCAACGCGGAGACCGCCTAGCCTTGATTCTGCCTCGGGTGCCTGAGTGGTGGTTGGTGAGCCTAGGCTGCATCCGATCAGGTCAGTGACTCAAACAGATCCTGGTAATCTTCAGAGGTGGCCTAGCGCTAATTGGTCCTGAAGCATTAGGTGTTTTCTCTTGCCTAAATTTCTTTCTCCTATACAATCTTTCCCTTTATTGGACTCAAATTATATATAAGTGTACATGTACATATATGTAAAGCTATTTTTTATTGAATACTTGATAGGAACCTGCAGATAAGAACCTTCAAATCCATAAGAACATTTGAGGTAGGTACTATCACCCCCATTCTGTTTATTTATTTATATTTATTTATTATTGAGATAGCATTGATTTACAACACTGTATCTCTTCAGGACCTAGGCCTTTACCATAAGCCATTGGTCCTCCTCCTTCATTTGTTCCAACCTCCACCTTCCCTCTCTAGTAGCCTCAATTCTGCACTCATAATTCTGGTCTTTGTTTTGGTTTAGTTTTGTCAGGTCCTTTGTTTTGTTTCTCTATATCCACATCTGAGTGAAATCAGCTGGTACTTGTCTTTTTTCTGTCTAACTTATTTCATTTAGCATAATCCTCTCCAGTTTCAACCATGTTGTTCCAAATGGCAAGAATTCATCTTTTCTTTTAATAGTTAAGTAGTATTTCATGATGTATGTATATATATATAGCACATCCTCTTAATCAATGCTCTTTTGTTGGCGACTTAAATGATTTTCATAGCTTGGCTACTGTAAATAGTGCTACAATGAACATAGGAGTGTTTTGCCTTACTTTCCTGGCTCTGTGTATTTATTTTCTTATCTAATATTTGTGGATTATTTTACTTTGATTTTGATCAAAGGATTTTGACAAGGAGTGTTCTTGTCAACATTTATTGTAGGGGAATATCTAGTGTTTGCAAATTCCTTCAACTTTTTTTTTTAAGGATTTATTTTATTTATACAAGAGCCAAGGAACAGGCCAGATGCGTCGGAGGGTGAGAGGATTCACCAGAGACAAAGCAGGGAACAGAACAGGCAGACTGATGAAGTACACTGCTGAGAGGAGCAGTGGGCGAGACAGGAGAGGTCTGCTTGCCATGTGGGTTGCTCCGAGGCCGGCGGGGATTGGACTCGCACTGCAGAGGCTGCGGACAGCTTCACAGCGCTGCACTCAACCACCTGCACCACTAGGGAGGCCCAGATTCCTTCAACTTTTATTTGAGGTCTTTATTTTCCCCTTGTATTTGAAAGAGAGTCTTGCAATCTTGGTTGACAGTTTTTATCTTTGAGTATCTTTGAGTACATCATTCCATTCTCTCCTTGCCTTTATAGTTTCTGATGAGAAGTCTGATGTAAACTTGATGGGACTACATTAATATGTTACTTGTTTTTCCCCCCTATACCTTCAATAGTCCTACTTCCTCTGTAATTCTTGCTAGTTTCACTACTGTGAGTCTTGGTATAGGTGTCATTGCACTTAGGTGTTCTTTCAGCTTCTTGGACTGGTATATTTAATTCCTTCCCCAGGTCTGGATAGTTTTCCTCTTTCATTTTTTTTCAATAGGTTCTCTATTCTCCTCTCTCTCTTCCTCTTCTGGGGTACCCATTATTCTTATATTGGCTTTCTTGATAGTGTCAGATATTTCTCAAATTGCCTCCTCCTTTTTTTTTTTAACATATTCTTTGTCTTTTTCCACTTGTGTCATTAGACCATTACTATTTTTAAGATCACTGATTTGATCCTCCATTTGATCTATTCTACTTTCATAGCTTTCTGTAGAGTACTTCCTCTCATTTATTAAACTCTTTACCTCCTGGATTTCTGTTATTTTCCTGTTAAAACTTTGATTTTTACCTTCTGTTCATTGATTTTATTTCTGAGCTCATTAATTTGTTTTTGGGAGCTTTGTTGTGTCTCTTTGATTAACTTTTTTCCTTATATTTCTTTGACTTGTTTTTTCTGAGTTATCTTGTATTTCTTTGGCTTGCTTTTCTGATTTTTCTATCTCTGAGTTTATTAAAGCAGTTTATTATATAAGCTCTATCTAATAGGGAGATAGAATCTTCTATCTTTTCATGTTTGAATTCTGGAGAATTGTTCTCACTTTGTGATATCATACTCTCAATGTCTCATATTTGAATGTGTTATGTTGTTCTGTCTACCCATTTTGTTACTTAAAGTTTCCCTATGTTATCATTGTTTTAATATCTTTAGATTTGGGGGTTATTTAAGTCTTTGCTGGTTTCTATATGTACTAAGATCTTTTTTTGTAGCTGTTGAGTCAGTAGGGTGGGGAGAAACTTGGAGAGAGCCAGATGTTGATATGGATGAGTCAGGGTGGAACTGGCTCATATTTGTGGTACCTCCAATATCCTTCATCTCTAGGGTTTCGAATGAGAGACTCCATAGTCCCTGTGTTTTCTGTGTGCTTCCCAAAGTAAGTACCAGTCCCAGAGGGCAGGAAGGAGGAGTGCAGATTAGAAAACCTGCTCTGATATTTGTTGGGGACCCATCCTATATGGTGTACCCCAGCTCTTCCACAATGTTTCCCCTTTTTCATGGGAGTATGCCTCCATGCAACCTCCACTGCTCCCTGCCCAAGAATTCTGGTTGAATTGACAGCCTCACTACCAATGTTCCCTACTTCAGACCACAACCCAGAGCTTCCTTTTTCCATCTACCACCTGTTCAATATATCATGAATATCTTCAGTGTGAACCATGATTAAATCTCCACTAGGCCCTACTGTCCAAGGAATAATCAATCCTACTCCTATATGAGTGACTGTCTGTCCAAATAGTGTCCCTCTGGCTTGCTTCTCCAATGGCCACACTCTAGGAATTTGTTGTAGACATTGTAACACCTATAAATTCCAGCTCAACATCCATAAACATTGGAGCATACATCTAAGATCCAGGACATTCCCTTCACCTAACTATGATAGGGTTATCACACAAGAAGTCTAGTATTGATACAATGCAGATGCCTGAATACAACCATAGCCAAATTCCTCAATTGCCTCAATAATGTTCTTTATAGACTGTCTTTTTCCTTAAACCCAAAAATCCAAACTAGCATCATATGTTGCATTTACTTGCCATGTCTCCTCAGTTCTTTTAATCTGAAAGTATCCCCTAGCAGTTTCTGCATGACAGTTATTTTGTAGGAGTTGTCTTTCTCAGTGCATCCCACCAGGAAGTATATGATGGTGGTTTGGTCCAATATGAGTTGTATTATTCTATCACTTTAATAAAGTGATATCCACCTTTGTAAAACTACCTTTCCCCTTTGCAATTAATAAGTAATCTGTGCTGAAACATATAATAAGACTATGTGAGTATCTTGCACCCCAATAGTTTTTTACCCTATTGTTTGGTTATTCGTTGATGATTCATGACTGAATGGCATGGTTTTAAGGTGGTTGTATATGAGAATTTTCTATTTCTAGCACTCACTCTACATTTATTAGTTATCATTCTTCTGTGGAGAGTTCCCTTCCTCTTTCAGTTTATTTGTATAACTTAGAGCCATAATGGGATTCATAGATTTATTACTCCAGTCCTTCTATTATGCATGCTCACACAACATTCTGTTATGCTCTTGTTATATGTATATTTATACATACTCTCCCTCTCTCCCATTCTTTCACAATACAATTGTTGATGCAGACATCAAAATCATATGGAATCAAGAAGTAACTGCAATGGCAGAGGGAGTATAGAGAAGCCATGTCATCTGTAGAGCTAAGAGATAATCCATAAGAAAGCTAAGACATGGGCTGAGCCCCCTAGGGTAAGCAGAATTAAAAATATGTAGAAGCAAAGAAAGCAAATTCTAAGACTGGCCATATCACATGCAAAGGCTTAGAGTCAGAAGAAGTTTGTATGAAGAATGGGTAATTTGAAGTAGAGAATAAAGTTGTGGGAGAGAAAGCTGGAGGTTGGACAGCCTTTCGATGTCAGCATGGGGAGTGTAGTGTTTTCTCGAAGAGAGGGCACAAGAATTAGTGAAGAGAAGACATGTGGAGGGAAATGTTAGTACTTTGTGGAACTTAAGCAAATAATAATATGGAGGATAGGTAGTAGGAAGGTTCAAGACACAGCATCCAGGAAATAGGTTAGAATCCAATGGAGGCACAGAAAGACTTTGACTAAATGTTGGTGTTGGAAGATGGAAGAGAATGTAGGAAAGTTCAAAGGATAGTGTAACTAATTTTGGGTGTGAGGAATGAAGAGAAAGATTCAAGATGACAACAAATTGACTGTCTGAGAGAGACGTGAAGGGAGAAAGATGGAGGCAGGGCAGGGAGGCAGCCAGTTCCGAGTCAGAGACACTGTTCTGATGGCATAAAATAGGACCCACCTGCTTACTCGATAGGTCCATCGAGAATAGAAAAGGTTCTAGCAGTGTTTCAAAATTTAATACGCAGAAGGTTCACTTGGGGCTCTTGTTAAAATGCAGATTCTGATTCAGCAAGTTTGCAGTGGGCTGTGAGTCTGTGTCCCAGGTGCAGCTGGTGCTGTGAGTCTGTGGACCACATCTGAAAGCGGCTAGAGGATTTCTATGCAGATAAGTTGGGCTTGAAACTCATGTTTGTGAAAGAAAAAAAAAAAAAAAAAACAGTTCCTTCTCCTTCCCAGGAATCATCTTCATGCCAGGAACCACCCAGTTGAAGGCCAAGGACATTCTCTACCGACTACAAGTGTCTAAAGCCCAGAGTATCGTGACCACTGAAGCCCTTGCCCCTGAGGTGGACTCCGTGGCTTCTGAGTGCCCCAATCTGAAAACCAAGCTCCTGGTGTCCGATCATAGCCGTGAAGGGTGGCTGGACTTCCGCTCATTGATGAAGTGAGTTTCTAGTCTAATAAATGTGCTTTCTGAGAAATGTTGAGAGAAAGTTATTCACCCCAAAGTTCTTGGAAACAGACAGTCATGGTAGGCAGGTCCCCAGGTCAGACACCAGAAACCTCTTCCCAGATCTGACATTGATTTGCTGCCTGACCCTTGGCTCATTCCTTCCCCTCGGCTCATTCCTTCCCCTCTCTTGCTGTGACTGCTTTATCTTTAAAATAAGAAAATGGAATTGCTTCCCTCACTAAAGTATAATCACCTCTGGATTGCACAAAGGAGATGTGGAAAAATCAGAGGGTTATTGTGTTGTATCTTCCTTTGGATGAGGGATTTGAAGTACTATTTTCATATAAAAACAAGTATGTGAAGAAGTTGAAAGAAAGTGAATTTTTTAAGGTGAAATGTGAGTCTGAGTCTCAGGTAGTTTGGGGAGCAAACACTTTCTGTGTCCCAGGTGCTGGGTGCCTTCAGGAATACCTTGCAGGTAATGTTAGGGAAGTAATGGACAGACGACAGGCCTCTTCTATCTCCAAAGTTCTGATTCAGAAAACCTTCAGGCATCTTTCATATCACACATCAATGTTGCTGGATTTGTTTTCTTGAAATTTCATTTCAGTTTTTAAACTTGTTTTACTCCAGCCCCATAGGCTAATATTACAGCAAAGTCACATCTTATGCTAGATTCTAAAATCAGAGAAAAAAATGACCCCAAACGTCATGTTGTTTCTTTTGATGGGCAAATCAAAACTGTGACTTCTGTCCTTTGCACTATACCCTATTTTCAGATCAGCATCCCCTGAGCACACCTGTGTTAAGTCAAAGACTTCGGACCCAATGGTCATCTTCTTCACCAGCGGGACCACTGGCTACCCCAAGATGGCGAAACACAGCCATGGACTTGCTTTACGATCCTCCTTCCCTTCTAGGTAGGAAAGAGGAATCTAACTCAGAGGTTGGGCCACATTCTGGGACAAAGTGTGTGTGTGTGTGTGTGTGTGTGTGTGTGTACACGCGCGCACATGTGCATGTGTGCGTGGAGACCTGAATAGAACCAACTCCATTCTGTTTCTCCTTTCTGCTCTCTTTGGTTCATATTGCTAAGGGTCTAAGAGGTAAAAACTGGAAACCCTGGAGGCATGACAGAGGCACTTTTGGGTGTGAAGGAAATGTGGGTGGAGTCAGCAAGCATAGACAAGCCACACAAAGCTCTTGTGTTGCTGTCAGTGATTCCAGGGTTTGGTGAAGGAAAGACAAAATGTTCTAGCAAAGTGACCCAAAGTGATAGAGCCTCTCTTCTCCCCCATCATAGGAAAATCAGATGTGGAGTTTCCCAATCACGTGCTGTTAGAAAAAGTGATTCTTGAAACCAAGTCACGCAAGCCACTACCCTAATCTAGCACAAAAAATCACAGAGGCCAAAACCTTGGGTTATCATTTAATCAATTTTAAACCAAACCTCTTCTTCACGCTCTCCCTCCCCCAAGTAGCAACATTCACACCAGGTCAATTTCCACATAGTTTGCAATTCGTTAACCAGATAAGTTTGCAGAGAAGGCTCTTTGTGGACAACAGGTATCTGCATTGATGATCATGGGTGTGGAGCCAAGTCCTCCATGATGGGGGTAGGAAGTAGAGGAGGGCTTTCCTGGCAGCCAAAAATAATACAAAGGAACAAAGATATGGAAAGTAGCATACAGAGATTGAGAATAGTTGGTATCTGGTGAGAGATAGAGACCCGGAGATGGGAAATGAGTGGAGCCCAGATCAGGTGTGTCTTGTGGACATTGGTGTAGAATTTGGAACAGATTAGAAAAACACGGGAGATTTTGAAAAGTTTTCAGCATAGAGAGGACTGATCACATTTGCATTTTGAAAAGATCACCTTGGAGGCAGGATGGAAGATGTGTGGGGTGATAGGGAGGAAAAGTCATTAGAAACAACAGTTAGAGGGTTTTAGAATAATTTGGTACAAGATGGCAGTTGCTTTAACTGAGTGCCAGACACAAGAAGGGTGTTAGCACATTTGATATTTTAAGAGGTGCACAAGACCCACTGGGCTAGATGTCGGACAGAAGGTTAACTACCAGGTTTGAGGGTTAGGCAGTTTCACAGACAGTGTTGACAGGCACTGAAATCCAGAGTCCACAGGAGAATGAGTCCAAGAGAGGCAAGAGAGACCAGGCTCTGCTGGGCGTGAGGTGCCTGTGAGACATCCCACAAGAGATACCCAGCAGGTGCCTGGGTCCAATTACTAGCTAGAGAGATGGCCCTAGCTAGAAATTTCTGGTGGGTGTGCCATAATCCTCAGAAAAGGGATGAGAATATATGGGTGTCTCATCAAAACCCTCCCTACCAAGAAAATCTCCACAAAGCCTTAGCCTGCTAATGAAGAATTGTGATTTCTCAAGAAGTTATGCATCTAGAGATCCCTTGGAAACAGAAAGAGGAAGGTAGAGAAATAAAGTTCCACTCACTTCATGTTCCTTTGGCTTATGATTGTTTCCAGTCCTTTGCCAATATGAGGTATTAATTAGTTCTCTGTCTCTCTCCCTGTCTCTCTCAATTTCAAATGACAGAGAGCCCAATCTAAACCTCTTGAAGCCAAACACTGATTAAGGGAATTTATTGGATCATGAAATAGAGTTCTCCAGGATTTGCCTGGAGAGTCTCCAGATTAGGTTGTTATCTCTCCATCTATCAGCTCTGATACTGTTAGGTTTTGATCTTCTGAGAAAGCCTCATCCTTTATTATACAAAAATGACCACTGGCATCACTTGGGACTCTATCAGATTCAAATCCAGGGAAAGAACAACAGACGTTGACTCTGTGTTCCCTGTCAAAAGGTTCATTATGATCGAACCAGCTGATGTCACTCAAGACCAGGAACTATAGTTTTACAGTCTTTGGGGGCCTGGGTGGGAACAGATCTTGAGCCCACACAAATCACATGAATGGAGTGACAGGTGGATCACGACCCCAAACCCAGAGTCCCCCGCCTTGGATTACATCCTCCTGGGAGCACACAGTGAGGCTGTTGTATTTTGGAGTTAGCAGGAGATTACTGCAGCTGAAGACGTCTGATGTCTTCTGGTGTCTGTCAGACCCAGGCTGGATTCTGGCTGTTTTGGGGTGCTTGCTTGAACCATGGACAGCAGGGTCTACACTCTTCATTCACCATCTGTCCCAGTTTGAGCCCAAAGTCATTGTAGAGGTAAGAATTCAGTACCGTCCACCATCACAAACTCCCAGAAGAAACTCATGTTTCAAGATTAAAAACTGGGCTTCATGGAAAAGATTTGACTTAGCAAAGGAGCCCATGAGCATAACCTAACACCAGCCTGGATTTCTCAAAGTGTGAAGCACAGAGTAATATGATCATTGCATTAGACTCACATCAAGAGGCAACCTTGAAGAAGAGGCTTAGATTCCCCAGACCCATGCATTGAACTGTGTGGGTTCGAAACCCAGAATACACATTTTGAGAAATGAAAGCAAACCAGAGTAAGGTCATGTCTCCTGGATGCCAGGTCCCGGCTGTGCCAGTGTGTGGTTGGAGTATGACACATCATGTTTCTTAGTGCACTTTGGACATTTATTAGTGGTTTACTTGTGACCCTGAGCCTCAGTTTCCTTATCTGTGAAATGGGTGTTTCCATAATTACTATCTCACAAAATTGTTGGGAATAGTGATGAGGTGGCACAAGCTGGCACCGGGACCACACTCCCCAAGTAAGTGGCAGCAGTGGCTGTTGTCTTGTGGTGATAATGGGCTCCTTCCTTGCATGTCCCTGCCCCTGAAATTGCTTTTTTGCTTCCCCACTTGCTTCCTTCTCAGAGCTGCCCCCCTCAAAATCTGAACCCCTGCTGATCCTTTCCTTCTCCTCCTGTGAGGAGTTCCTCTCCATTAATCTTTAATTTGTGAAAACTTTGCTCTGCCCCTTCAATCTCTTACCTGTCATTTATTTACTTTGCTCCCTCAGCCAATAAACATGCCCAAAGTTCCCCATCTTTGAAAGGCTTCCCTTTACCCTAGTGCACATTGGACCTGCCCTCTTTCCTCCCTTAATATCAAATTTCTCCATTGAACTTTCTCCCCTCCCTGTGGCCACTTGATCCAGCTGACCTCACAATCCTCCAAGTGTCTGCCCTCATCTTGCACGTCCTTCCTTAGCAGCCTCCTTCGCTTCCATTCTCCAGCCAACGGCTCTCAAAGGTGCACCTTGGGTCTAGCCTCTCTCTTGAGGCTAATTCCCCTTGTGTCCCTCCAGCACCCTGGTCAATATCTGCTCTCCATCTCCACTCCCCTACTCCATCATTACCTCCTGCTGCGGGTGAAATCCCCCCAGCAACCCTGAATCCAACCCCCATCACCAGCTGCCCCCAAAGTCTTAGTGTGCTTTAAGCTTGAATTATTTCAAAGTATTCCACAAATTTCTCCCTCTCCCAAAGCCCATAGCATTTTAAAGTTTATTGATTGTGCTTTATTTTCTACTTATTACTTTTGTGCATTTCAGTAATGAAATATCTATTGTTCTAGCCTCTCTTAGTGAAGACAGGAGTTGTTGACTAAAACAAAGAACGTTTAATTAAAAATGTACTGTTCCTGAGCTGGCACACCGTCTAGTTCCTTTCTGCCCACCCCCCTCAGCCAGCCCTTCTTGCCAAGTCTGTTGCAAGAGCCCCCTGCTCCCAGTGCCACTCTCCCTGGGAAGCCTGGAAACACGGAGACAGGGGATAAAGTACAACTTAGGTGATTACAACCAGAGCCAACATTTGGTGAGGACTTAGTCAAACACAGGATGTGGACAAGACTCTGCCTCTAATCCTTATGTGTGAGCAATGCTCCCCGGGGTGCACATAGCAGAGGCCCACTTTGAAGTGGCTTAATGGGAAAAGAAATATAGGCAGGGAGGACACTGGGGTTTGTTAAGACTACAGAAGAGAAGATAGGCTGGTCATGATGAGAGTCTAGAACGGGAACCAGGAAGACACCAGGAGTCAAGGCAGCTTCCTCTCTGTTTTTCTCTGTTTCTGTTCCTTTCTTTTTTTTTTAAGATTTATTTTATTTATTTATGCATACAAGAGCTGGGGTGCAGGTCAAAGGTGTGGGGGGCCAGTGAGAGGATTCACCAGAGACAGAGTGGGGAGCAGAACAGGCGGATCCACTGAAATACACTGCTGAGGGGAGCAGCAGGCGAGACAGGAGAGGTCTGCTGCACCATGTGGGTAGCTCCCTGGCCACCAGGGGATCGAACTTGTGTGTTGCAGTGCCTGCGGATAGCTTGATAGTGCTGCAACTTAACTCCTTGCACCACCAGGGAGGCCCCTCTGCTCCTTTCTATGTATAAGCCTGCTTGTGCTTCTCCACGCACTCAGGACCAACATAGAGGACACAGCATTCCCAGGTTGTCAGCCCCCCCCTTTCCAGATGACCAGCAGACTAGACACTGAGTGACCCAAGTCACCAGCCCAGTGAGCTACTCCTGGGCAAGATTACAGGCACAAGACTGCATGGAGTGGGATAGGGTTAGGGCTTGGGGGGTGAGGGTAGACTTAAATTTTGCCAAACGGACGTGATTGTGAACTATGGCAGAGGGAGAAGAAATGCAGGCTGGGCTCAGAAAGAGGGACCGAGAGTAGAGGTCGCTTTCTCCAAAGTGTCCATTACACCACATGGTGGTTTTATGTGGAAAATATAGATGTTCCCACTTTACAAAGGAGGAAACAGAGCTGCAGAGAAATGATGTGATAAGATTTGAATTCAGGTGAGGCAGATACCAACACTCACATTTTCTTCCCTTTCAAATTGCTGCTCTCACCTCTACCCTGATCCAGAACTCTGAAAGATCCCCATCTCTAACTAAATAATGATGAATTAGACCCTAAATAATCTGGCTTCTCCTAACCCCAGTTTTCCTAAATGTGCCTCTTATTCTTCTGTGTATCTAAATAAATGATATTTTTTGTTTCTTATTACATCCTTACTGTTTCTTCTGCTCCTGAGACTTGGCTCCTGCTGTCCTCTGTCTTCAAGGACCTTCCCCGCTGCTCTGCCTGGACACACTGCATTCATGTGTTGAATGCCTCCAACAAATGCCACCTGGTGCACTGAGCCCCTGGGCCTCCTATTCACAAGGAACTTCCAGAACTATCTTCAAATCTCACTTGTGACATTTACCAATGTCTGCCTTATCATGTGAGTCCTGTTTTATGCCCTCAGTTAGTACCTATTCTGCACAAGAGCTGGGACTTCATCTTACGCTTCTGACCTCCCTCCACAGTACCCAAGGCAAGCTACGTACAAAACTCATGACACAACTAACAAATAAATAAGTGGGCTCTCCTAGAGAGGAGATCAGAATGAAAATGCTAATCATCAGCTAATAATTTTAGTCTTAACCTAAAAATATAACTTTTCACTTTCTAGACATTCTTCAAATATCCCATCACCCAGTGCATTGCTGCGCCAGGGGTGTACCGGATGATTCTGCAGAAGAACTTTCCCAGGTATGGTACAAGTAGCTGTGGCTGGATTCTAGGAGGAAGATTTCTAGAAGGAAGATATTAAGGAATCTGATGCATTGTGATCTAATTTTTTCTAAGTGTGGTTTTTTTAGGTGTGTGCTTGTACGTGTGTGTGAAGTGTTGATGGTGATCATTATCATCCAGACTAATTATTTCATTAAGCGGACTCAGAGATACGAGTAAAAAAGCATCCTTAGTTTTGCACTGTGGGTTTGTTTTTATTTTTATATTCCCCATACAATTGCAACCCCCTTATTTTGACCCCACTCCCTCCTTTCCCCGCCCCCACTCCCTATAGTGTGTCTCTGGTTCATCGTTATTTGTTGATTTTGATTTTTTCTTTCTTATAGTTATTCTTTTTCCTGGTCCCTTATTTAGGTTTTCTAGATTCCTGCTATGAGTGAGACTATCTGGTATTTTTCTTTTTCTTTCTGGCTTATTTTGCTGAGCATGAGCCCTTCCAGCGCCATCCATGTTGCTGCAAATTGCATGTGTTTATCTTTTTTGAATGCTGAGTCATATTCCATGGTGTATATGTACCACATCTTCTTGATCCTGTCATCTATTTTTGGGCATTTGGGCTGTTTCCAAAGCTTAGCTATTGTAAACAGTGCTGCTATGAACATAGGGGTGCAGGTGCTCTTTGGCATTGATGTTTCTGTGTCCTTTGGGTAAATACCTAGGAGTGGAATTGCTGGATCATATGGGAGCTCTATCTTTAGTAGTTTGAGGAAACTCCAGACAGCTTTCCATAGTGGCTGGACCAGTTTGCACTCCCACCAGCAGTGCAGGAGAGTTCCTTTTTCTCCACATCCTTGCCAACATTTGTTGTTGCTAGTTTTTTTAATATGTGCCATTCTCACTGGTGTAAGATGGTATCTCATGGTAGTTTTGATTTGCCTTTCCCTGATTGCAAGTGATTTTGAACATTTTTTCATATTGGCCATTTGCATTTCCTCTTCAGAGAAGTTTCTTTTTAGCTCTTCTGCCCATTTTTTGACTGGATTATTTTCTTTGTTTTTGTTGAGTCTCATCATCTCTTTGTAGATTTTTGTGATCAGTCCTTTATCATTAGTGTTGGTACACTGTGGGTTTTAATCTTTGTAAATATTTTTATTTTGAAACAATAAACATAAAGAAAAATTGATGACATAAATTTACAGATGAGTGAGTTGTTGAAAACATAACGCCTTTGTAACCATTCACCAAATCACAGAAATGGAACATGGCCAACACCCCAGATATCTCTCACTTCCTAAAGGAATCCATGGTCTTGACTTTTAAGTCCAATTCCTTCCTTTCCTTGAGAGTTGTCCTCTAAAGGAAATATTCCTAATACTGATGATTCTATTTTACTTGTGTTGAAACTTGATGTGTGTAACCACATATTATTCTGTAATACATGGCTTCTTTTTTTTCAACATTATGTTTCTAAGATGGGTTCATGTTGTTTAATATTGCTGTGGTTACATTTTCATTGCTGTATAATATTTCACTTTATCAAGGCACACATTTTTATCAGTTCTACCATTAATGGGCATTTGGGTAGATTTCAGTTTGGGACTATGGATTAATACTGCCTTGAATTTTTGCACTTGTACCCTAGTGCCTATCAGCATGTACTTCTGTAGAGTTTTTCTAGAAGAGGAATTTCTAGGTCACATTGACATTGCATACTATCACCCTGGTTTTCAGAGTCTTGAACCACTTTGTATTTCCACCAGCAGAATAAGAGAATTCCCATTGTTCCACCTCCTTGACAGTATTTGTCAGAGCTTTTCATTTTTGTCAATCTGATGGATGTGTACTGTTGCTATGGTTTTATATTTGCATCCCTCCATATTTGTGCATAATTTTAGCTAACTTGAAATCTGCTCTTTGAAATTTGTGGGCACTTATGTATCATTTAGAGATCGTAAATTGGAAAGAGTGCCTTCAAAAATCAAAACTAACACGTTTCAGAGTTAAAATATCAAGGAGTTCAATGACTGCCCTTATGAAGCTTATTCTGAAATAGAGCATAATTTTATCCCTGAAGCCCCAATCTGGCTGGATCCTGTTTCCTTCTAGATGTCAAAGCTTAGCATTCCTGATGATGACTTTGTCCAAACCCAGTAAAATCCAACCAGAGTGTAATTAATGACTACATGGGAAACTCCACCCACCTGATCTCCTTTAGCTAAAGCTGCAGAAGAATGAGGAAGACTTCCCCCACAACAACCACCATCCTGTCCCTCACTCCTCTCTGCATGTGCCAGGAGAGAGAACCCAGCCCACTCCAGCTGCTACCACACCTTAGTCACTCTCCCCAGGAAATCCATCATTATTTTTATGATTGTTTTTGTATTATTTATGGAAAACTGCAGGGGAAAATTGGAGGAGAGAACTTGTAGGCTGTACCTATCTAACTACTAGAAATGTTCGCATCAGATTTTTCTATTTTCTCTGCAATTCCTTCTCCCTCTAAGGCTGTTACCATTTACCCTTTTCTTTTCCTTCCCTACACTCAGCCCAATATTGCTGCGTGTCCTGGGCAATTTATTTCCAACCCTTAATTTATTTCCTCCAGTTGGAAAGATAAAAACCCTCAGTTCACATAACTCCACTCTTCACAGAAGGCAGTGCCGTTCACTTGGGGGTTATGTCTCACCCCTCTATGATTTATAAGAACACCCCTCTTAGCCACATTGAACGCTTCCCTAAGAGGAGTTCCAATAAACACATTTCCACCTTTTTAACATCCAAAGCTTCTGTGAACCCATTAGCCTCACCACCACCACCCACTTGTGACCAGCTCACAGGAGGTGACAGGACGTGGGAGACTTCCACTTGGCCTTGGCATCAGTAAAATGCCCAGAAGGCAAGAAAGTGAAGCAGTGTAAATGGTGCAGGTCACACGCAGAGAGGCTTGGCCGGGGTAGGGTGCCCAGGCCCTCTGACCTGAAGCTGTCAGCAACCCGTGTCCCCTAAGCCTCAGGTTCCCCTGCCTGGAGCACTGCTGTACTGGTGGGGAGCCGCTGCTGCCCGAGGAGCAAGAACAGTGGCGACAGCGGACAGGCATCTTGATCCATGAGGCCTACGGACAGTCAGAAACGGTAGGTGGGTGGTCCTTTCTGGGCCAGTCAGTACAGGCTGGGTGGCCCAGCCTGATGGAGCCACTGAGCCAGGTCACCAGGGAGCTCAGAAGCCCCGCTGGGTGCAAGGTGCTGCTGGGAGCTGCTGGGAGCTGCTGGGAGGCTCCAGAATTCTAGGCTAATTATGTCCCACGTCAGTTTGCAGAATGGCAATTCACAGCTTGTGAATTCACAATTCACAGCCTAATCAAGAGATCATTTTGGACACACTTTAAAAGGGGGTTGAGGTGGTGATGCACCGCTGCCCTGTGATCGTCAGGGGCAGCAGGACGAGGAGGCGCTCACTCTCCGGTACCTGCAAGCCCCGAGACACCCCTTCCAAAGGCAGCGGCCCAAGCGGCAGGCTGGAGCGGACCTCAAAAGTTCATTTCTGGGTGATTATGAAGACAGCATGCAAGTTGGATTGTGGGACACCACCAGGAGTAAATAGGGAACAGAGATGTTCTGTACACACCACACACTCCCCCCACCCCCTCTCACACACACACACACACACACACACCACAGAATGTGACCCCAAAGAGCGCCACCGCGTCGCAGCCCATCACTGCTCAACAGTCCCAGGTAAATGTTTATGAAGTGGACTCGCGGCTTCCCCTGGCAAGTGGACACAAGCCTGGCACACAGTGGGTACCCTGCACCCCAAGTGACATGCCCACAGCCCCAGGTACCCCTCTGGCCCCTGTAACCCCACACCTAGCACAGGCCCGGTCCAGGTGGGGCGCCGCGTAGGTCCACTGGGGAGAGGTTGCCCTGGGGGTACCGCGTCAGACACAGCAGGGCCACCGTGTGATTCCGGCTGTTCTGTCACCAGCCTGGGCCGCGTGGGCAACTCCGACCCTCTTTCTCTTGTGGACAGGCACTGAGCTGTGCTAATCTCCGGGATATGAAGCCCATGCCCGGCTCCATGGGGAAGGCCATCCCGCCCTACGACGTCCAGGTCTGGCCCCCGGGTTGCCGGCAGGTCTGGCTAGGGTCGGCTGGACTCGGACTGTGGCGTGAGGGCCGGTGCCCCTGCCCCCCAGCCTTCCTCCCCTCCTGCTGTTTGACCTCTGATTTCCCGGGAGGTTTTGCTGCCCGGCCACGAGCAGGAGGGCAGCTCACGGGACAGCCAGAAGCCTCGGGTGGAGAGGTGTCCTCCGGGGTGGACAGGTGTCCTCCGGGTTGTGGAGTGGAGAGGTGTCCTCCGGGTGGTGTGTGTGGCTTCCTCTACCAGCTTTTAGTTTTTGCTGATTTATTTTTTTTTTTAGCCCAAAGACACATTTGCGGTGTCTGTCTGTCTGTCTGAGACAGAGAGACTCTTGGCTCGGGCTTCGGCCCTTGTGGCTTTCAAAGACTTTTGATCATCTGATTCCATTTCTGGCAGGGTTTCTCCACCACAGCCCAGCCCTCGTTACCCCCGCTAGCGTCACAGAATAAGCTGGGGTGGGGCGGGACTTGGGGGTACCCTGCTGGGGGGATTCACAGGCCACTTGCTCCAGATCATCGACAGCAAAGGCAACGTCCTGCCCCCCAACACTGAAGGGAACATTGGCATCAGAGTGAAGCCCATCAAGCCCATAGGCCTCTTCATGTGCTACGAGGTAAGGCCGCCCTGTCTTCCCAGCTGCTCCATCACCCCATTCTCCCCTTCAGGCCCCATGGGCCCCCCAGGAGCTGTGTAGGTGACAAGGGAGTGATCACTCTGCTTTCTGAGACTTCAGATCTTCATTCACTCCAGCTCAATCAGTGAGTCTGTTCCCGTTAACCTCAAAGCCCATCCTGTGCCCCTGCGTCTCATGCTGTCCCGCCCTCTAGCAGGACAGGACGGGGTAGAAAGAAGCCTGGCTTCAGGGCCACCAGGCCTGGGTTCTAACACCTCCTGTGGCTGAGAACGCAGACTCGGTCTGGGTTCAGCTATTAACCTCCCACTTACCAACAGGGAGCAAACAAATTTATTAAGCAAGTTGAGCCCCAAGGGGCACCACTGTCCACACTTCACAGAAGAAGGAACTGCAGATTGGAAACCTTATTTATCTAATGATTGGCTGGTCTAGGATTTTTTTTTGAAAAAGATTTATTTATGCATTTAAGAGCTGGGTGTGTAGGCCAGAGGATTCACCACAGACAGAGTGGGGAGCAGAACAGGCGGATTGACTGAAACACTCTGTTGAGGGGAGCAGCAGGTGAGACAAGAGAGGTCTGCTGCGCCATGTGGGTAGCTCCCTGGCCAAGGATTGAACTCAGGCCACAGTGGCTGCTGATAGCTTCATAGTGCTGTGCTTAACCCCTTGCGCCACCAGGGAGGCCCCGGTCTAGAATTTAAATGGATTTGTTTGGGGCTCCAAATCCCAAATGAGAAATCTAGGGATTGGCTCTAAGGTGACCTGCTGAAACTCTTGATCAGAACAACTTAAGCGAGCTCAGGTCGGTAGAAGCCACTCAGAGAAATTCTCAGCTCTTTTTAAGATGGACCAGGGAAGCGTGGACCGACCCTGAAGTCGATCTCAGATTTTCATGTTTTTATTGGTCACTTGTATGTCTGGGTATTTGGCGGGTGGTGGTGAACCTTTGACTCTATTCCAGCCCTCCTCCAAGATCAGTTCCGACAATTGCTGGGGGGTTTTATGTTTCTGTTGGGGGAACAAGACCTTAGAGGGCCATCCTCCCCAGCAGCATGTTTTAAAAGCTCAAGGCTGAGAACTCACTTGAATGCTTTTGTGGACTTTCTGGGCCTCTGTGGAGGCCTTTCTGTGATGCTGTTCCCTGCGCTTCAGGAGCTGTTCTCTAGCCCTGAGAGTTGAGAAATCCAGAGCCCGATGCACAAGATTTCCTTCCCAGGAAATGTGAGGCCCATCTTCCAGGTCCCAGCCTCTGACCTTGACGATTGGCATCAAGAAAGTCTGTTCCCTTCAGGGAAATCTCACCCCAGGGTGTGTCAGGCCCTTGGCATTCAAACCCAACTCACAGAGTTGGCAACAGCTCAAGGGGTCCCCGCCTGGGGTGGATCTTGGCTGAGCTCTGAACACAGTTTCCAAAATTTTAGTCATTCCAGTCCACATCCATGGTTTTGCTATATCCATGCGCTGCTCTGTGGTTGCTGAATTTTTCTCTCGAAATCGACTTATTCTTTGACCTTAAAACATTTGTTTTTTAAACAGTTGATCTAGTATCACAGCTGAAAACCAGTGTCACTTGCCAAAATAGGAGGCGATTATAATTATAATGCAAACAAAACAAATTCCTTAAACTGTGGCTAAATCCCTTTCTCACTAAAAGGTCTGCTCTTGAAACTTAACTTCCTCCTGGCAGTTCCAGAGCTTTCAAGTACATGTCAGAGTCAAATAGTCTCCTTGGCACAATCAAAAGAATTGTCAGGAAATCCAAAAAGAGATATGATTTGATGTTTCTAAAAGTTATTTTTTCTGGAAACTGCTCACATCATTTCACATTCTTCACGAGGGAAGGTCCTAATAGATTGTCAAGAGCATGGGTTTTTGAGCAAGAAGTAATTTCAAATGCCACCCCTGTGACGCGCAGAGTGACCTTGAACAACTTATTGCGCTCCTTGGAGCATTAGCTTCCTCTTCTGTGAAATGGATTATAAAACGCCAGTGTCACATAAAACCTGCACACAAATGTTCAATAGTTTTGCTCATAATAGCTAAAAACTGGAAACAACCCAGCTGCCCATCAACGGGTGAATGATTAAACAAACAAGGCTTCATCCAGAGCATGAAATAATGTTCACTAACAAATAGATCCAAGTGTTGATGACCACAGAGGCCTGGACAATCTCCAGTCCCCAAAGGTTACATAGTATAAGATTCCATTTATATAACATCCTTAAATGACAATATTATTAAATGGATAATGGATTAATCATTGCCAAGGGCTTAGGGTGGGGGTGGGGAGGGGATTGAGGAATGTGGCTGTGGGTACAAAGGAGCAACAGGAGAGTCTTGGCATGATGGGACTGTTCTGTGTCTTGATTGTGGGTCCTCTGCCCTGCACATGTGCTACAGTGCAGTGTGCTAACTTCTGTCTGTCTGTCTGTCTCTCTCACACATACACAACACACACAACACACACAGAGGAAGTAAAAAAATGTTATCAACGTTAATAACCAGGTTGTGATACTGAAATGTAGCCTTATAAGCTGCCCCCGCTGGGGGAAACTGAGTGAAGGATACATGGATCTCTGCATTATTTTAATTGCATGCAAATCTACAATTATCTTAACGTAAAAAGTTGAATTGAAAAATACCAGCCTTACAGACTTTCTGTGAGGATCACCTGAGGTGGTATTTGGGGAAGAAAATTCACTGGGCGTGTTTATGGCAACCTCCCAACCACCAGACGCTCTGTGTAGCTGAGCTGCTGACAGCGAGTAAGATAAACAGAGTTTATGTTCTACTCGAGATTTTGCCCTGTCGGGGTGCCAAACCAAATGAGTTATGATTTTGTTCATTGTTCTTGAGCCATCTTAACCCTGTCCACTGAGCGGGGAGTGCAAGGAAGACAGGTTCAGAGAGATTTCAAAAGGTTAGGGTTAGGGTTAGGAAGGAAGACTGGTTAAGAGAAATTTCAAAAGGTGCCAGAAGCAGGATCCAGAAACCCCAACTGGTGACTCTTCACCTCTTCAACAAAGGGGTGCCATTGTCTTTGCAGAACGACCCAGCCAAGACAGCCGAGGTGGAGTGTGGGGACTTTTATAACACTGGGGACAGAGCGACCATGGATGAAGAGGGCTACTTCTGGTTCCTGGGGAGGTCTGATGATGTCATTAATGCCTCCGGGTAGGTGCTGCTGACCCCAAGCCCGGAGCTTCACCCTCGCATGCCCTGACATTCCCCCATGCCTGGTAACCACCCAAGGCCTCATTCCCAGCAAGGCCTCCTCTGGGGTCCTGGCCTGGGGAGTCTGTGCACCTCCCCCAAATCCCTCACCCAGAAGAATCAAGCGATATGAAGCTCAAGAAGGTCCTGCAGGCAAATCATAATAAGACATCTTGCAATTTAAAGCTGATCTGGGAAGGGAGGCCCGACTTTGGTCCTGTTTGCTGGGGAGGCGCTTATTCTGTGTTCGCACTGCTCTGTGGGGTTGTAAACTCACAGCCAAACAGAGCAGCAGAAGTAGTAACAGTAACAGGTCACCTTCAGGCAGCTGAGTAAGGAAAGCCCCTCTCTGCTCTGTGCAAGTCATTGTGTGTGTCGTTCTCCTGAGGAAACTGAGTCCCTGGGCAGTGAAGAGAGTCTCCTACGGTTTGAAAGGCAGCGCAGCAGACAGCCAGGGATTTGAACCCAGGTCCTCTGGCTCCGAGGCCGTTGTCCCTAACCCTTCTGGATTCAGAGGAATAACGGCCCTTGCCAGTAGCAAGTTCCCTGGGACATTCCAGGGGAGTGAAGTTTATTTTATTTTCAATTTCTAAAACAAGGGCAGGTAGGACAAGGAATAAGACACAACTTTGCATGCTAGAGATAAAACTTGAGGTTTCCTGCGGGTGGCATTGCTAGAGCCCAGTCCTCGCCACCCCCACCCCTCACCCCTACCCCCAGTTGCTAGAGCTGAGATCCGCCCCCTCCACACCCACTGGGTGAGAGGCGAGCTGCCCTGAGCACCTGAGCCTCGCTTTTCTAGGGTGCAAGGCGGGTCTCCATCTTGCGTCATATTGCACAGCCATTTCTGACTCCCTCAGTGCCAAGGGAAGATGTGACCCTCTAAAACATGAGATTGGGGGGCTTGGGTCACCCCTGAGCGCTTGCTCGGAACCAGAGACGGAACCATTGGTCCCGCAGGTACCGCATCGGGCCTGCAGAGGTGGAGAACGCCCTGGCGGAGCATCCAGCGGTGGCCGAGTCAGCTGTGGTGGGCAGCCCGGACCCGACTCGCGGGGAGGTGAGGATGCCCCCGAGTCTGCGGGGGCTCTGGGCTGCAGGCGCAGGGAAACTCGCGGGGCCTGTCTCCCCAGCCCTGCTCCCGGGGAAGCGCGGGGGCGGCGGGAGCGTGTGCACGTGCACGCTGTGGCCACCAGGGGGCACTGTGGGCGCCTCCGGGATCTAAGAGGCTGATGATGACGGTGATGGTTAATGAACTCTTACTATTCGGCTCATTTATCCTTCACGACAGCCTAGTGGTCTGGGACTGCCCCTACACCCTTTCAATGACAGGAAAACGAGCTATAAAGAGGCTGGCTAACTTGCCAGATAACACCAACACCGTTAATACTGACGAGGCACAAAGGGAATCCCAGCAGCCTGTCCAGAGCCTGCATCGATTAAAAAGTGTCCATGTGCACTACTGTGCACCGGGCCCTGCGAAATTAAGTGGCATCATGAGTAATAATATAAAAGTAGTAAATTAACCACAATTATGAAATGTCCACGAGGTTCCAGGCATAAATTGTATACAGAGTAGTAGTAAAATTGGTGACGATAGGCATAATAACAAGTTCAAGCTAACTTCATAATTTTTTAAAAAGATTTATTTATTAATGCATATAAGAGCTGGGGTACAGACCAGAGATGCAGGGGGTGAGAGGATTCACCAGAGACAGAGTGGGGAGCAGAACAGGCAGACTGACTGAAATACACTGCTGAGGGGAGCAGCGGGAGAGACAGGATGGGTCTGCTGCGCCATGTGGGTAGCTCCCTGGCCGGCTGGGGATCCAACTTATGCTGAAGAGGCTGCGGACAGCTTTGGACAGCTTCACAGTGCTGCGCCCAACCCCCTGCGCCACCAGGGAGGCCCTAACTTCATCATTTATATGTATTATCTCGCCAACCTTTTCCATAAACCTGATCAGCAATGAACCTGTATTGTCTCCATTTTGCAGAGAAGGATGCTGAGATTAAGGGGGGGTTAAATAATTTTCCAGTTCCTGTCCTTTACAAACGTTCAACTGTCACTAGTTGGCACTCACCCCGCGCCTCTGCTCTGCTCTGCAGGTGGTGAAGGCATTTGTGGTCCTGACCCAGCAGTTCATGACCCATGACCAGGCCCAGCTGACCAAGGAGCTGCAGGAGCACGTGAAGTCAGTGACGGCCCCATACAAGTACCCCAGGAAGGTGAGCAAGGGGTCTGGTCACCCTAAGCTGTTCCCAGGGAGCCCCAATCCCACAGGGTGGCAGGATGAAGCTTAGGGGGCCAACCGCACTAGGATTTTTCCTCTGCAAATGAGACAATTCAGCTAGCGGGTGGGTGGGGGGTGCAACCAACTTAATGTGATGGAAACTGTTCACTGTGTCAGAAGCCAAATGAATGCATTGCTGGCAGGTTAACCTAAAGTAAAAAGTATGCCCAGTTGTCCAAGAAGATTTATTATAATCTTTCAACGTTTGAAAAAGAAATCCAAATTGGCAACTTCCAAATTTTTAAAAACTATTCACAGTAAGAAACACATTGTTTTTGTAAATAAATACCTATACATATATATACAAAGAAAATTCACAAAATGATATTTATCCTTACAGTGTGCAATGCATTCTGTATTTTTATTCTACTTCATTTGCTTTAAATGTCACTTGCAATCTACAAAAATGTCCAACAATAGAGAATTGATTAACTTATTCATAAAATGGGATATTATCCTGTCATTTAAAATGATGAACTGTATCTTTTATTTTTAACATAAAAGCATGTAATAAAATTATTACTAAGAAAAACAGGCTATGAAAAAATATATATTATCCTATTCATTTAACATTAACATTTGAAAGCTTACTGAGGCTGAAGAGTGAACATTTCCTTCTTTTTTAATCATACTTTGCTGCCTTGTGTGAATATTTACCATACTGACAATGCAGCAATATGTATGAAGCTGCTGTGGGTCAGCACTACTTCCTAAGTGTCAGGCCCTGGGCTTTTGGCTCTAAGTACATTATTATTTCATTCAATCCTTCCACAGCCTCAGATGGTATAACCATCCTCTTGTCCAGAGAAACTGAGGCTCAGAGACTTGAACTGGCTGAATGACAGCTGCTAACAGCTGGAATTCAAACTCACATGTGTCTGGCACCAAAGTCTCAGTGCCTGTGGCCACTGAGAGTAGAAAGGGGTGTGTCCCCACTGGGAACGCCTAGCTGCCATTGTGGGTAACAGGCCAATCGCGTGGCTGATGAGGAAGGCTGCTGCCCTGCCAGTGCCAGAGTCCACCTTGGCTCTCTGCTCCGCGTAGCCTATCCTGGGAAAAGGATAAGGAGCGGCCACCATAAAGGGACCTGTCAAGTGCTATAAGAGATCACCAGAGAGGGTGTCCAGTCACGGTAATGCCTAGCTCCTCAGTTAGAGGTGACCCCGTCACTCCCACTATCATGCTGGGTCACAGGGCTGCGTCCAAGTTCATGGGGTCAGAAGAGACCCCAGCACGCTTGGTAGGGGGACCATGAAGGCCACCATGTGGTGCCAGTCTGTCTGGGGGGCTGTGCAGGCGCAGAAGAGGGGTGCGGGGCCTGGAGGAATTCCAGTGGTGCTAAAGCCATGATGGGTTCACTTTATCCTCAACCAGGTGGAGTTTGTTCCAGAGTTGCCCAAAACCGTCACTGGCAAGATTCGAAGGAGCGAACTTCGGAAAAGGGAGCTGGGTCAGAAGTAACCTGCAGCAAATGAGAAACCACTTTGACGTCGGCCAAATCCTGGGCTGCCTCAGTTTCCCTTCAGGGTGAGGGTGAGGAGGGGCGCATTGAAGTTGACTTGGAAGCACATCAGAAGGCCCAGCTCTCCAGAATAAACAGCAGTCACTCTCCTGCGTCCACGCCTCCTGTCCTGTGGGATGGCAGAGGGCCCGGGGCCGAGGCCGGAGGGAATAAGGCACTGGCATTGGTGTCAGTTTGCCCTGTGCTGGGTTTTCATCCTGTGGCTGAGCCTGTGCTAAATTCTGCCCCACTGGGGTTCACCCCTCCCCTCAGAGCTAGCAGGGCTCCCCACTGCTGGCCCTGGGGGTCTGCCAGCCCAGTAGACGCATAGGGCACAGGGCCAAGGCTCTGAGCAGCTCCTGCCCCTCTAGGTCCCAGCCTGGACCCCCTGGGTGAGCGATGGACATGCCCTGGCGACCCAGCAGGACCTCGTGGCTCTTCCAGCCCCTCCTGGGGCTCCCAGTCCCTCATTTCTACCCAGAGCCCTTGGAGTCTCACTCCTCAGCCTTCCGCCCTATGCCTCACCTGCTCATCTTGCCCCAGGGCCCAGGAATCCCTCCGGCCTTCCGCAAGGGCCCAGAGTCCCTCCCCAAACAAACCCCACCGCTGTCCAGCCTGCTCCTGTCCCCTGCCCTGGGGCTCTGCAGCCCGACCCTTCACCCCATCCATCCCGGGGGCCTGAGATGGGGCCACAGGCGCCTGGGAGGAGCAGAGGAGGAAGGGCCCAGCCCGAGGGTGGGGGATTGGGCGGGGAGAAGCACCTACGGTCCCCTTCCTGCCCCTCCGGGGGGCTCACCCTCAGGGACGTTCCCTCTGCAACTCCCATTTCTGGGGTGCACACACATTCACAAGGAAATATACAAATCCCATGGTGCAGAAGCATGGTTGGAATCAGGCCAGCCTCATCTGGTGGCAGGCCCCAGGCAAGTGTGGGGTTTCAGACAACAGGGAAAACCAGTCCCCTCGTTGGGCAGATGCTGTAAGTCACAACCGCTGTGAAAGCTGAAAAAATAGCCAACACCAGAGTGAAGTCCCTCGAGAGAAACCGGCCCCGGGTCAGACCCGAGGGGCTGCCCTCCAGACAAGGGAGCACAGAGACGGGGCGTGGACACTGTCTCCCCAGGGCACTCACCATTTTTCCAAGGCGGGAATGGTTTCAAGTCGAAGTGGCAGCTTGCTGGGCTGAGGGAAGAGGCCAGTGTCCCATCGCAGCCCCGAGGATGGGTCTTCCCAGGGTGGTGTGGTCTGGGGGCCTGGACCAGAGCTGCTGCGCCACGTGGGTTGCTCCCTGGCTGGGCATCGAACTCCTGCTGCAGAGGCTTCAGATTGCTTCATAGTGCGGGGCTTAACCCCTTGCGCCACCAGGGAGGCCCCTCTCTTTTTTTTAATGAAGGAAAGAGAAATTTGAAAAACAGTGTAAAGGGCGCCAATTTTTTTTATTTCACCCAAAGAATCTGGCGAATCAACAAGGTTATCTGCTGCTTAGCGCAGGAGAAATTGTAGTCTCTGTTGATGAGACTGCGCTTCAGTGTTAAATTTATGTAAAAAAAAAATTAATTCTCTGTTTCGTTTGACACTCAAAAATAAGAGTTCTTTGGCTCCCGGACCCCGTGGGGAATTCGCACCCCAGCCAAGAGAACAGGCTTGGCCTGAGGGGTGCACCGCGGCTTGGAGAGGTGGTTCCCAGAATGGCCAGGAGGGGGCGCGCGGTCACCATGCGCGGGGAGCGGGCCGTTCCCCGCCGTGCGCGGCAATGTCCGGCAGAGGGCGCCCGCACTCTCCTTTCTGAGCCAGGGGCCCAGCCAGCGCTGGAGCACCCCATAGTTGGGCCTTAGGGACTGGAGCAGCTTCACCCTGAGAACAGGAGCTGTGCTTCTAGCAGCTTCTGCCCCCCCAACCCCCGCCCTGGGGATATGATGTGGAGGCTTTGGCGCCTTCTTAGTCTTTTTTCTTGTGAGGTTTATTTATTTATGCATACAAGAACTGGGGTACAGGCCGGGTGCACAGAAAAAAGGACAAAGACCGTGCACAGGACTGCTGGCCTCCTACCCCACCTCTTGGGACTGGCACTGAGCCCCTGCGCACACGGACAGAGGAAGAGCCTCATTCTGGCGCCAGAGAGCAGCAAACTCCAGGCTCCAGGGCGCTCCCCTGCTGTGATGCAGCAAAAGCAGGTTCAGGACACAAGAAACTAGCAAAGGTCAAAAAACTGAAATCAAGCCAGGGGAGGCACTGCCACCTCCTAGGAGCCCACAGGCAGGGACCGCATGGCAGTCCCAGCAGCGGGCTCCCCCCTGGATGCCTGGCAGCAGCAGTGACAGCAACTCCTAGTCGTACTTGCCTGCTGAGCAGTACCCAGGCTGGAGATGCTTTGCCAAGCACTGTGACTGGCACACCAAGAGCCCTCACTTCCCCACATCATGCCACCACCACCAGGAGGCAGGCGGGGCTGTGTCCAGAGCATCACCTGTAAGGTAATGACCTGGCGGGAGAAGATAGTGGCGCACACCTGGGCATCACCCCCCACCAGTGCCCCGCACGCCTCTAGGAGAACTCGCCCTCATCCTGCACCAAGAGCCTCACCTGCGTGGTGTTGCCTCCTGTAGCTCGCCATGAGACCTTGGTGGGTGGCTGGATCCAGATGTGTAGCCAGAGTTCTTCAACGCCTGGAGCAGCCTGGACGGGAACGGCCAGCCCCACAGCACTGGATGGGAGGGGACACTTAGCCTTTGCTGCAGGATAAAGGTTACATGGAAACACTCGCTATCCACCTCTAACCTGTTACCTCTGTGTAGTCACCTCTGCAGTCAGCAGCCAAGAGTCTTTAGCCAACTGGCTGGACAGTGGTGTGGGCCCAGAGCTTGGAGCAGGGATGCTCCAGCAAAGCCCCGGTGGGGATGGTGAATGCTCGGAGCTTAAGGCGATTTCCTCCCCGCTCTCATGGGCTACAGTGCGTGCAGTCTGTCTCCATAACTATGGGCTCGGGATAAGGACTCAGAGGCCAGGTGCCCCCACACCTGGACAAACTTCCACCCCAGGGCAGAGCAGAGAAGGGAGGCTTCAGGACTGGGCCCAGCTGGCCACTCTGAGAAGGAAACCCTACCCGAGCACTGAGAGGCTTTTTCCAGGTTTACCATCAGCATCTGGGGCTTCCTGAAATATTTGGGCAATGTTAGGGACTAGGATTAGCCCCGGGACTCACGTCATGAAAATTCATGGAAAGGAAAAGCATCTTGGATTGTTTTCAAGCCATTCCAAAAGAGCAACGAAGTCGAAGAAAAGACTATTAGACACGCTTCAAGGGGAGCAGAGAGTCAGAGAGAAAGAAGCAGGCAGGGGCCGGCTGCCCGCACTGGGCCAGGTCCAGGGCTAAGCACGGTCAAGAGCACAGACCCCCTATCCGGGAAGCACTGAAGTCTTGAGCGGTTCCACCTCTACATGCAACCGTTTCCTGTCCAAGTGCTCCAGAATGAGGCAAGAGGAGACTATGCCGCTGAGGTAGAGACACAACAAGTCTTAATAAGACGATTAAGAAATTTTCTCTTAGGCACAAAAGAGCAATATACTCTCCTATGATTGGAGGTGTTTATGTGGGATGATTCGGCCTCAATGCAAGGGTTGTTCCTGACCCCTGGGCCTTCCAGATCCTTCTCTGGGAATCTGATGTATGCCAGTAAAAACAATCCTATTGATCTGTTATCAGATTCTCTCTCTCTCCCCTCCTCCTCCTCCTCTGGGGGTAGAGGTGCTTTTATAATGAGTGAAAATTTTCCCAGCAGGATTCTGACATTTCTATACAGAAAATTGTAAGGCCATTAAGGTCTAAGGTCTTCCTACTTTGAGTAAATCAAATCTGCACATTTTACTTTAAACATCTTCTTCTATGATAGACAGATGTACATTTTTAAATTTTTTTTTCAATTCTCTTTTTTTATTTTATATATTTTTACGCAATGGAATATTACTCAGCAATCAAAAAAGATAAACTCATGCAATTAAACATCTTCTTAAAGGAAAAAAACAGCCCTCGTTCTCCTCTTGGTCCTGTCACTCCTCACTGCCCATTATGAACCGCCCCCAGGCTGCAGCCCTTCTCTTACCAGGCCCACCAGGCTCTGCACCCCCATGACCTGTCCTCTGGGGGCACTGAGAGGGCCAGGAAGCAGGTGTTCGGAAGAGTCTGAGAAGGGAGGGGGGCAGAGTCAGAATTGAGGTGCGTGTGGCAGGAATGGGGTGCTGGACACTGGGAGAATAGGAGGGTCAGGGAAAGAGCAGGGTCAGATCAAGCCCTCGAGGGGAGGGAGGAGGACTCAGGTCAGCGGGTCAGCAGGACACAAGTGCAGGTGGACAGGACTCTTGGGAGTGACTCTTGGGAGCAGGTGGAGAGGGCGGGATCTGTTCTCCTTCTCCTGTCTGGCTGCTGCCTTACCCGGGTGATTTATAGTCTCCCCACCAATTCCAACTTTTGCCCCTTTCCATCACTGTGGGCTCCCTGGCGCCCTCCCCACACACCTGCCACCCCGATGAACAGCTCCAGGCCTCACAGACTGCCAGTTCCAGCCCCTCCTGCCCCAGGTGGCTTCTGCCCCACCCTGGCTGTTCTCTTCTTCCTTGCCCTTGGGCAGTGGCTGCAGAACAAAGCAGAGACAGAACCAGCAGAGGACCAAGGATGCAAGCAGAGGCGGTTCCACACGCCTCTCTCAGTCTAGACATCTTAACACCTGACACAGATGGACAGGGCACTCCCCTGTGTCACCCCGCTGCCTGCCAGCCCAGCCCTTACACCATGAACATAAATGGGAGACAATCCAGCTGACTCTCCTGGGTGATCTCCAGTTTCTCTAGGAATGTGAGGTTTTTTTCCTTTGTGTTTTATTTTTTCCTGAAAGCTGCACTTATCTATGCTTCTGTGGAAATACAGAAAGTATGCAAAAGTGTCTGGGAAGAGAAAAAATTACTTACAATGATCATTATACTATCGAGGCAAATATTGTCAACATCTTGACACTTTCATCTACACAATACTCCTGTTAACATTCTTTCCTTGAGATGTTATTTTTTAGTTTATTCATGTTAAGCAGAAAAAATAGAATACATCTCAAGGAATGAGAC